TTTCTCTCCTTTTTGCCATTATTATCTAAAACATGTAAGTTCATTCGATCAAATATAAGATTAAATCCGCGATAAAAATTTCTTGTCAACACAATATGACCAAAGACCCATCATTATCATTCACTACTTATTCTTTCTTCCTGCTCCGTTATACTACATAAAAAATACAAATAAATCTTATATTTTATTTTACAGGCAAACAGCCGAAAAACTAAACCCATAAAGAAATGAAATCAAAATAAGCCTAATGGCATGTAGTATGAAGATCTTTTTTTTAACAAAAAAGGACAAAATAGAAAAATGAACTGTCACATAAAATGAGTAGTCTTAAGTTGAGTTTGTAAAGTAAATATTGCTAAAAACATAAAAACTCTTAGCAGATGTACATATGTATGTATGTAGTATATGTACTTAAACCTATCAACAAGCCACTATAGTGGCAAGTTAATTTATATTTAGACTAAAATACATACGAATTTAACTACATTTATGTATATAAAAATACCTATATGTAAGTATGTATGTTGCAAAGCATGGCGTATAAATACAGTCAAACTCGTTTATTAGCGAATTATAAGCGAATTTCGTAATTGGACGGGGAAAGATCCAAAAATTAAAAGAATATGAATTATAAGTTTATTTCATATTCTCTACAAAATACCACTATTGATTAGTGTCCGACCGAACGTTCGGGTTCGGAGTTCGGTAAGAAGTGAGGTTCGGTGAATGTTCGGTGTTCGGCGAAATTTTGACCGAACACCGAACTTTTTATAAAATGTTTTTTTTTTATCATATTTTTATATCATCAAAAAGTTTTAAAAATGCTGAAAATTTGTTTATAGAAGTTATCATACATCCTGGCTGTACAATAAATTTCGGATATACATAGGTACAAAACGCCTTATAAACCGTTCGTTTTTTCGGCTGATTTGAAAAACTGTTAACCAGAAACTGATTAAAAAGCTAAGAAAAGTAAAACATTTAATTTGAATTATCTAGTTTCGATTATAAATCTTTGATTTCATTTGTAACATCGAAATTTTCTCAAATGATCTAGACATGTCAGTCAGTCAGTCTGTCAGTCTCTTGAAACGATAGGACCTAAATTATTGTTGCAGTTTGATTGGTATTAAAAATGGACAAAATCGGTTTACATTTGGACATGGCCTCCATATAATATTCGCTTTAGAAAATTACTAACGTTCATAACAGGCTTAAAAATACTAGTATTTTTATGAAATTATACTTAAATTTTTTATGAACCAAAATTTCATATAAATTGGCAAATTGAAATTTGCGAATTGTGTTAAGTATTGTATATATATTTTTTATTTTTTTAAAAGCTAATTTTACTGATTAGATAAAATTCATTTTGATTTCGATACATATTTAAAACGAAATTTTGATCACATTGGATCATAATATCATGTATAACAATATTATGATAAATACAAAAATATCATGATGAAATATTTTGACGGTATTTTATCATATGATATTTTAAAATTGTTACAATAACGATAATATGTTTAGACTACAATCATAATTTTAATCATAATATGTTGCTCTTAGAACATGGTTATCACAACCATGTTTTTTCTCAGCGTGCTCTTACAGATAATTATATCATTGTCTATAAATCGTTTAAAAACCAAAAATAAAAAAGTATTATTTTTCATTAAAAAAAGTTCGTGTCCACCGAACTTTGAAAACCGAACAAAGTTCGGGTTCGGCCGAACTTTCAAATTTACCGAAGTTCGGGTTCGGTGTTTGGTATCGAACGAAATTTTGAGTTCGGTCGGACTCTACTATTGATATTATTTGTACATATATTTCTTAACAAATTTAAGTTTAAGCAAAATATTTTTTTATGATTTCAACGCATAATTTTTTAAGTTTTAAAAAAAAGGAAAATTACATGAAATCGTTCATGAGGGACAGAAAAAGCTGTTCGTTTTAACCGAGTTGGTAGTAACTTTTTGATATATACTGACGAAAGTATTTTTATAACATATACAATGTACATATGTGGCATCCTACCATATACTAAAATATCCACAGTTCGAACATCAAAACAGTTAATTTATCCATTAATTATAAACAATTTTGAGCAAAAAAAATCGGATTAACAATAAAGAGAAATTAGATCTAGAATCCTCAAATTTTTCACTGCAAATATATAAGTGTATATTATAACTTTCATAAATGCAATAACTCTTATATCTGGAAAACCATTAGAGGTAGAATTCTCAAATTTTGCGCGGTAAATATTGAAATCCATATAAACATTTGGAAATAATGGGTGGGCCTATTTTAAAATTTTAAAATATTGCACAAATACCTACACTTTTACATGTTCCATTAAAAAGGAATTTTCACATTTCGTAAAGGTTTTTTATTTTTTTTTTTTTTGTTTTGAGGGTAGCAAAGCACACTTGGTATCGCAAGTATTCTATAGAATAATCTAAGATTTTAATGACTAGCGAACACTATTACTATTAATTTGTATTGCCTTTGTGTCATAGGTAAAATTTTTGTAAAGAACTTGTCTAACCCTAATGTACATACAAACATACTTCCATCGAAATTTTTATGACATTTTCCCTAATGTATTTTTTATTACTAGTTCTCGTTTTTGTTCTTGTTTCCGAATTAATATTAATATTTTCTCTTCGTTTTTCTTTTGCTGTTAATAGCCTTCAGACAATATATGATTTAGAGAGTGTTTTTATTTATTTCTGAACATATGTTATTACTTGACAAACATAGAACAGAAACTTAAATATAGTATTTGGGGCTATAATAATGAACACAATTCATGTTTCCTTGACTAATTTTGTGTACCTGCTTCATGGCATGCTTGTCTTTTACTGTCTATTTAAGTTATTGGTACTAAAAGTGATAAATCCTTATTCAACATAAATCGATATTTCAAACAATTATGACAGAAAATTGTAAAATACAAACTTTTATAAAAAAAAAAACAAGTTTAACAATTCTATAATACTTAAAATTTGGGAAATATTACTATTTATAATACGAATTTCATTTCTTATAAATAAGAAAAATCTTTGAAAAATATTTTATTAAAAATGTTTTTTTTACCTTATATGAACTGCAAAATTCATTAAGAATATTTGTATTTGTTTTGTGATGTCAACTGGTTTTTACGACTTAAGGACATTATCTATCATGATTAACCTGATAGTTATGAGCACTTTGTATTAAACAAATAAACATATTGTTTTGATTTTGGGTGATTTATGAAGATATTGGGTGTAAACATTTAAAATTCAGAATTCACAAAATATAGCGTAGTATTGATCGAAAAACGCTCAGTATATGCAGCCAGACAGAACACTCTTTCTATTGATTACGCTTCACTTTCGAACAGGGTATCCGAAATTGTTTGATTCGTTGATAAGCAGATCTTTTGACAAAAGATATAGGAAAAGGTCATAACTAACAATGGGCTAACTTAGAATAAATTTATTTAAAATATTTTTCAAAACAAATGCTAAAAATTTTTTAAAATCTCGAATTTTTGAGTTATAAGCCCAGTATTATTAGGCCTATATCGGGCCTGTTGCTCCTTTACCAGTGTGCGAGGTGGCAATCGAACCCACCACCTCAGGTCTACCAGACTAGAATACTAACAAATAACTTATCTTAAGTTTTCTTAAAATTACACATAGGCTGTTATTTCAGGTAAAATTATATAAAATAAAGAAAAAGTGTGTCTCCGGTGTTCTAGTCTGTTGGATCGGAAGTCGTGAATTCGGTTCCCACCAGAGTCGCTGATAAAGGAGCGCATCCTGAGAAAATAAAATAAAGATCTCTAAATTTTTAACTGCTTATATAAAATAGGTACAACAACACTTGTTTTGACTATTAATGTCCTTCTCTTCTATTAATCCTATAATTGTTCTAAATAACAAAGAGATTATAATTTTAATCAATAACACTCATACGTCCAAGAGTCTAAATCGAAAGAAATGGAAATTAAATAAAAATTTACTTGAAAGTCATAAAAAAGAACTTAAAAAAACTCTATCCCTCTTACTTTTCACTATATATAAATTAAAACTATTGTCTGCTTATGGTTAGATAATCCTTTTTAATTACAATAGCATTTAATCGTATTCTATAAAGTATTTTTCATAAAACAAAACAAAAAGAAAAACACACAACAAGAAGTTAAGTAAATTACTCTGTGGCACTTAAAGCTGCAAAAGTTGTTTGACACTTTTAAGTCGTTTCTTCCTCTTTTGTCAGTTCTTCTGTTGTGGTGTCGACTTTCTTAAACAGAGTGTCTTTAGCAAAGTTTTTCTTAAGAAGCCTTATAAGAAGAAATAATAAGAATAGCAACATAGTTAAACAATGTAAATTTTCTAAAGTTTATGAACTACAGAAACAAACATTTTTTGTATATATTCAATCTTGATTTTTCAGAGACAAATATTTATTCGCATACAAAGAAAATATATACTAATTTTTTACCATCAATTCTGTCATGGTGATTAATTAGATTTTCAGTTTAATTTTGTAATTATTGTTGCTGTTGTGATTTTTTTTAACGCTTTGGTTGTCGTCATCTCATTTGAACAATGGGGCGTTTAATTAAAACATTCAACTGAATGTTTTATTAACAATCTTATTCACACTCATACGTCATGCTGAACCATCAATCAGAATTATACGTATGTGCATTTCACAGCTCTCTGATTATTATTGTATTGTTTTCTGTTGTCAGTACATATACATACATAGTACATATTTAAGGTGTTCCTCTTTGCGAATAATATTCATTCTCATTCATTCATTCTCCACTCATAAAAAATGCAATTAAAAAATTTAAGCACTACCAAAAAAATTTCCTGTTTTTTTTCTGTTAATAAAAGAATTATAGTTAGAAGATACGAAAATGAACCTTTGATTTAAAATTTCAACCAAAACGAGTAAAATAAAATTATAAAAAGCAAAATCACAAAAATACTTACAAATTCTGCTGATTATTTGGAAGGATGTTCGTATTGTTATGCTGAACTTTTATATTTCTCTGTGTGGTTGTCCTCTGTCCGACTTCCGCTTTAAAGGAACACACAAGACGATGAGAGAGAAAGAATTAAATAATACGAATGTTCTCATCGGATGATGAACAAATAATGACGCTGACGTTCAAAATATAGATGTAAAGTTATTTTTTATTATTTTTATTTTTTATTATAAGAACTCTTTTTACAGTTGTTGAAAATTCGTTTTTTTCACACTAATTTTAATATTTTATTTTTTTAACTTCAGCTTTTAGTTTTTAAAATTTGTTGGACCATAAAGTAAGTTTTGCTAATCTATGTGAAATAAAATAGTTGGTTATGTTTTGCAAAAATCTTAAATTTGTGTAGCTTTTCAGTATTTAAATTTTATTCCCATAGTTTTTTATTAAACTAATATTTACTAAATTTCTCTTTTTATATTAAGACAAGTATTTCTCTTGATGATTTAGTATTTTTTTCGAAATTATCTTTTGGTTTCATACATGTTTTTTTTTTGTTTATTCCTGTGTGTACTTAACAAATTGTTTACTTTAATATTTGTTCATTTAACTGCTTCCTTGCGAAAATACGTTAAGTATTTCTTTATTTGCAAAACAAAATATTAAAGTAAATATTTACGAAACAAATAAATTCTTAATATGGGAAATATTTTTCTTTGACTAAAATAATATTTGTTTCTACAAAACTAAGAATTTTTTTACAAATAAGTTGGAATTAGGCGAGTATTTGGTATATATACAAATATACTATACATACAAACATAGCAATATTTCATATAAAATTAAAATGGGAAAGAAGAAACATCATAATCGTAAAAAGTTCCTTATTATTTATAAAGAAGTCAGAAACTTCATGCAATGGCCTATTGAAACTGTGAACCACACTTAGTACTGCAAATAAGAGTATTCAAAAAATCAGTTTGTTTCAAAACCCGGTTTTTGAATAATGGGATGTGCTAAATAAAATGCTGCGTACTTTTGGTACTTTAAATGTTATTCGAAAATCCATCTCAAAATTCTCTATTTTAAAATTAATTTTTTTGCATCGGTAAATATTAATGGTGTGTAATTCACTATTTATAGAACGCCCTTTATATCTTCAGTATGATTAGGAATACTGAACTGAAATGTGACCATATTTCCAAAAATCCAAAATCAGACACATTTCTCAGATACTTTTTTAAAAGTAAGAAGTCTATATTCGCCTTTGCCGAATCAAATACACCCTTCACCAAAAAAAAAGATTAATTTTATGAAATTTCCAACTCTACACTTAGTTAACAATAACAAAACAACAACAAAACGAGATACGAAAAGCATTAAAATCAACATATTTTTTTCTAATAAGCAATGTTGTTGTTGCTTTTGTGTCAAACCATGCAAAGAAATTTCTTTTTTGATGAAATTTTCAGAGGTTATCTCGGATATCGATCAATGTTTTCGCATAGCCCCATACAAATGGCCCCCGAAATACAGTTTTAACAGTAATAAATATTTTAAAATTACATCGGTCCATAATTGACCCTATCCCTCATATAAGGTCCCCTTCATAAAATTACTTTAACACTAATTATTGGCTTAAAAATACGAGTACTGAGATGAAATTCGACTAAACAAGTTTTATGTGAACCAAAATCGGATCGGTCCATATTTGACCCTACCCTCCATATAAGGTCCTCTCCAGATAATTACTTCAACACTAATTACAAGCTTACAAGTTACAGTTATGAAATTATGACATAAGCTACTTTTATAGAAACGTAAATATTTCTACCAAATAACATTGGAGTGGGTCGGTCACCCTACCCTCCCTTATTAGGTGCCCTTCAGGAAAGAATTTGCCTTATTTAAAATATGATTATTTCTTATTTAAAAATGCGATTATATAGGACCATAAGTGACCCTAAAATTACTTTTACGTTCAAGACGGAATTAAAAATACGATGAAAATATTTAACAAATAAGTGTTATACCAACTCAAATCTATCTACCAAATCCCAGCAAAAAAAACTTCCAAAATTCCAAAGAAGTACTAAAAAAGACCTGAAGATGTGATGATTTTGACACAGACTTGTCTTTTTTATTTGATTCCAAATTCACTACTTCTGAATTTATTCTAAAGAATAAATTTTTTTGGAAGTTATTTGAAAGTGAAATTGTAGTATTATAGAATAAAACTTATTAGACTTAAATAATATTAACATAAATACTATTTAAAGTAAAATATCAACGTTCGAAGCAACACAAATATAAGTTTTATTCAAATGGATAATTTACTTTAGCAATGAGAGATTTGGTAAATTTTTGTTTTTACGAAAAAAATTCTATTTTTGTCAGTTTATATCTGATTTTATAAGAGAATAAAGCGTATTTTCAACACAGCCTAATGTGCACACTGCAGTGTGTGTATAAATTTGTCATACCTTATGTACATCTATGCGTATGATCAATAATTAATTTATTTGTAGTAATCATACGATTTGATATTCAATCAAAATATTAAGCAAGTTTGTTTAAAAAATAGAATACCAAAAAAAGCTCATCACGCTTATAGGTTCTGTGCGAATTCAAGACACTAAGAAAACCAACAACAAACTCATTCCAATAATTTGAGTTCGAAATTCGAACAATTTGGACTCACTGTTGTTCAGTTCACAATCAAGTATCAAAATATAACTACTTTGCGCAAAGTCGTAAGTTTATGTTGTCAAAGAGAGAAGCAATCAAAACTAACATGAAAGTCAAAGGAATTTTTCTGTTTTGCAAATTTCAAAAAAATTGTAATATTTTTTTATTTATTTTGAAAAACAGCTGTTTATGATTTTAGTACTCAGAATATAGAATATGTTTTTATTGAAACCCTTACTATATTTATGTCCTTCAAAGTAACTTTAATTATGTTTAATAAAACGACAACAGCTAAAATAAAATATTTTTATTAAACCTTTCTTAAGTAAACGAATTCTGAATCCCCTTTGATAGTGACAAATAGGTGAAACCATTTAAAAATATTTCCTGCAATGCATCACATAACTTCCGTTCGCTCAACACGAATAAAATGTCAAGAAGCACGTCATCAATTAAAAGAGACAGACAAATAAAAACAATGTTAATATTATTAAGTAATATTTCCGCTTTTGTCATTTGCTCACCTTCTTTAATTAGCGACTATTTGCGTTATTAGAAATACAGAAAATACTAAATAAAATACCAGCACGTTTTTCATAAACAAGGAACGCATTTCAATTTCTACTCTTTCAAAATTAAAGGAAATTTCTAATTTATGTCTTGTTCACTTTTGTGTTTAGCAATTTGTTATGCATTTAATTGACATTTAAATTTCTATCAACCACCATTAAAATTCAACAAAAGTTCTTCGGACAACTTAAGATTCTTAAGTGTGTGAACACACGAAGATAGGGAGTGGATGGTTTTCATAAAGTAGAAATGAATGAGCGGTCAATTTTCACAATGACCTGTCGATATTATCATTGTATATTTTAAATGAAAAATAATGCCTTCGAAGCTCAAAAACAGAAGGAGCATTTTCAAAGATGTTGACCTACACCATTATCGTCATCCGTGTACTCAAATGTACGCAGTGTCAAATACTCTACTAACCATATTTCTTGATGTTCACTAGTGTTAATTAGAATCCTTAAAGGTCTTTACAGCAACAACTTCCAAATGCCAAAGGAAAAAATGTCTTAACATGTTCTTACTATGAGCACGCAATATTGAAAGGGATTTACACGAATTATTTTCTTATTTAATTTTTTTCTTTTGGGCTCTTTTTATGTGGAAGACACTAAAAAATGAAATAAAATCGTGACTTAAGAAATTATGAAATTAAATTCCTAAAAGAAAGATTAAATAAGAACAAAAAAGAAAAACAACAACATGAAGTAAAAAACAAATTAGGCACGAAATTTTAGAAGTAATAAAAGGCGATATAAAAAATAAACGTTAGGAGTTTTGAAAAACATGGCGAGCCAAGCACTTTTTCGCAATTTCTGCCTTCAGATAATAAAATTATATGAAATTAGGGCAGACTATGGTAATAATAATTTTAAAATAAATTAATTTAAACCATTGCGGTTCAACACATTATTCCTATTTTTCCAACTACTTAGATCTATATATTTTTATTTACCAGGGAATATTCCAACTTGTTAACTTTTGAATATTTTCATAAAAGTTTGAATTAAGTCATAAATATATAGTTAAATTTAAAAATACACGATCTTCTTATTTGTTCCAAAATAGTAAAAGTGGACAATTCTGTCTTTACGTTTATATCTTGCATTTATAAAAATACTATTTCAAAAATAGTATTTCCCAATCAACTCGATGAATTTTTATGTGCATCGATGTAATCGATTCGATCATACGGTAAACTAATACATAAGTACTATAAAACATCACAAAAATACCTTCAATATTTAATATAAGTATCTCCCCACAATTAAGAAGTTAATATAAAGGTAACAGCATGGACGGCGTATAAATTAAATTAAAGTGTTTTCAACAGACATATTTGCTTTAAATATAGCAACACTTTAATACTATTAAACCCTAGTATTTACATATATGTACATACATATATGAATATGTACATATACATACTTTCAGATGTATATACATACATAGTATATTGATTGGGAAGAAAATGAAAGAAACAAATAAATGTTCTTAAAATTAAGAATAATTTATTGTAATTATGGTAATTTTTTATTGTTTTTATTTCGGTTTATTTGGACAGAGTTATCGACATTCATCGATTTTTGGGGTTTGTGGTAGTAATAGTTAGTGGTATTTGTCAGTGTAAGTATTTATTTTATTTTTCTAATATGACATTGAAATTATGTTTTAATCTAATACACTATTTTGATATTTTTTCAAAGGTTGTGTTGTTTAAAAATCTGGTATTAACATTCTTAAATATACATAAATAGTTAATTAGGTGAATGTATGCATTCTAATAAAACGATTGTTGGCAGTAGTGGAAAGTATTAAAGCGAAAACAATAAATAAAATGTATTTTATTTCATGACAAATTAATTGTCTAACACGTGCTGAGTACAATGACATGTTTCTTATTCAAGATACAAAACAGATAGAAAATTAACATACTCGTACTTGTATTTGTACCTAACATGCGAACACAGATTTTCAATTTGAATACAATAGGACTTAAAATAGGCATATAATACTCAGTTCTCCGTAGGTTGTTAGAAAAGGATTACAATTAGAAAGAGATAACCCGAAATTAAAAACTCCAATAACTCTACAGACAGATGTACATATTAAAAAGGCAGATGAATGGATTAAAAGTAATTAAGTCCAATATTCACGGTGTTTTTTAAAATCTAATAAAGTTATCGTGATTAAATAATCTTTTGAATTGATCCATTCAAAATAATTAAATTTAGATATATATATATATATATATATATATATATATATATATATATATATATATATATATATATATATATATATATATATATATATATATATATATTACGTAAGGTATAACAAAGTAACAAAGGAATTTAAAATCAGTTCTAAAAAAATTTCAATAACATTCAATAATATGTAATGCTTTATTTACTATGAGTATTATAAAATATATATATATATTACGTAAGGTATAACAAAGTAACAAAGGAATTTAAAATCAGTTCTAAAAAAATTTCAATAACATTCAATAATATGTAATGCTTTATTTACTATGAGTATTATAAAATACAGTGCTACTTTTGAAACATACCCCGCACATAGACAGCTATTTAAAAAATATATACATACATGTATGTATAAATGTATGTATGTGTGCATATGAGATAAAATTAACATTAATCAATAATACATTCTTTAAATAATTTTCCATTTAAATGTAATCCGATTTCTCCTCGTTTTGTTCGTTTCTGTTTAACGCCAACAAAAACATGCTACATATAAATCATTTTAAATAATTAAGGATTTTTTAAGTGGATTTTCATAGAATTCAGGCTAAAATGTATGTATAAATTAATTTAAATTTTGTTTCTTTTCTCCGCCATTACTATGAAAATTATTTTGGAATAACGTTACGCTATTTCCTTTTACAACGGCTTTAACCTTTTTGTTTAAACCGTTGTTGTTATTGTTTTTATTTTAATTTTCTGAGTTATTTTTAGTTCTAATAACAAGTCGAACCAACCACTAAGTTGCAATGACACGAGGTTGGTTTAAAGAAGAACAAAATTACAGAAGAACCAACTTTCATTGATTTTAACAACAAAATATTTATTTATTACACCTTGAATATTTTTGTTAGCGTTGTATGAAGTGTATTTTGTTTAAGTTAAATTTCGTGAAATATTCATTTTATTTTTTATGATTTATTTTATTAATTTTCCAGGTAAAAATATATTAGAGAAAACCATAATTATGCATCCGCTTGTTTCATTTTTTGTTTTACTTAATTGATTTTATTTTTTGTTATTGTATAATTAATTCATATGCATTGATAATAAATATGAACATCAATATTTCAGTTTCACTTGGCCACAGAAAAAACACAAAAATCACGCGCGTTTTTTTATTGAAATTTTTACAAAAACTAACAATAACAAATAAAATAATAAACCGCACCAGTTTCAATTTCTTTGCAGCTGAATGTGTGAATTTGCTGTTTTTGTGAGAGAATCTAACTATAAAAAAACTATGAATTTTTTCTTCCCCCTAGAATATTATTAAAATACTTTGTTATTTTTTCTTTACAAGTTTTTACTTTTTTTTCAAATTTACACATTACACAGAAAAATAAACAACAACGTTTCATAAACAAATGAACCGTTACAAACAAAAGCTACAACACAACTGATTTGGTATCAGAGAAATACACTATAGAGGAATTGAAAAAACACAACAACAATAAGACCAAAACGAAAAGGAAAGTATATTTTTACGAATCGTGTAAAAAGCACGAGTGATGATATTTGGTTCGACAACGTGCACAATAATGCGGACATTTCATGAATAACCAAGTTGCCTTCGAACATGTTCGATGAAAAAGTGTGTGTTTTTATGTAAAATGTGTAAAGGCCCAACTATAATGTGCATAAGCTTGCTTAAGGTAATGTAACAATCGAACGAAAAGTCTCTCAAATGTTTAAGAAAATCCGAGGAAACTTTTAGGTGGCTATAATGTACTTACGTGTATTCAAAACAATTTAGCTCCATTTACACATTTATGTGACACACGTAATAAAAAAAATACATATTTCAAAATATTTTATTGAAATAAATTAATTTTCTTTTAGCTTTCCATTTTTTTCTTTATTTTCTTTGTGTATAATAAACAAACAATTGATTCCGTACGTAATGTGCTGTCAGTATCGCTCTTTGCTTAAGCAAATAAAATTTGACGAAACTTGACGAAACTCTCTTAAGTACATTATAGTTTGTCACATACATTTTATATGTGTTCGCACAGTTGCTTAAGCTGACTTCAGTTTGTTTAAGCATATTATAGTTAGGCCTTAAGTGTTCGTGTTTAAGGCACAAAAGCACATTTGAAATTGACTTCCGTTAGAAAGTGATAAAGACAAAAATAAAATAAAATGAACGCAAACGGATATAAAATTTATGAAATTGTATAAAAAAGCCTCCATTCGATTGTAAAAAGGAAAATATGAGTGAATGTAAAAATGTACTAATTTGCCATAGAATAAATATGTTCATTATCTCAATTACATTAGACTGATTCGCACCAAAAGTAGACTTTATTTTATTTCTTGAAGTTCGTTAATCATTTTTATTTTATTTTTTAGTGTGTACTTATTGGTTAACTAGTTAGAAAATAAATACGAAAGTGTTTCACATTTTTTAGTATAATAAACTTAATCTTAGTTAGATGTCCATTTTTTTATGTGGTAGTCTAAAGTGCATATAACGATGGATTGTCATATGTTTGAAATATACACTATTTCTTTTTTAGACACTTCACCTTCGTGAGAAAGGTATATATAACCCAGTAGTTCGACAAAGAGTCAATGCATACGAAAAATACAGTGATTTCCACTAACGTCTCACGTCTTTCGTCACGGATGTATTCTTTGTAAACGAGATTGAAGATAATCGTCATTTAAGTGTCCCCTTTGTAAGCGAGAGAGTGGAGTCCACTCAGTGGACACTTAAAATACAAACTTAAACTTTTTGTCTGTATCTTCGTAATCTATGTGGTGACGATTGACTTTCTCGTATGGCAAGCACATGTTAAAATAGATAGTCACCTGTGTAGTCGGGTAGGAGTAACCCTAAATGGTAGGTTAAATAGGCAGTTGGGGACTGTCTGAGATCAGTTTTTAGAAGATCTCAGATATCTGCGAGATCCGAACCTTCAGTAATTCTATCAGACATACGTTGAGGAAGAATGTGAAAACATATAAGAGAGTGTAAGTGAGAACATATAAAATGCGACTTTTTGGTACTTTTCCGTTTTCAAAAGATACTTTTCAAATTTTCTATAATATTGAACTAAGAAACATGAAATTAAGCATGTAGAGACCGGAGTAAGTGAGAACATATAAAAGGGGACTTTTTGCTACTATTTCCTTGAATCAAGAAACATAAAAAGTATTAAAATTTCCCATAGCCCCATAAAAGTATATGTTCTCGGAAATGGATTTATTATTATTTAATAACCTCGTCTAAAATATCGGTATCACCAACAAATTTTGCACATATGTACATACATAATATGGACAATCTGCAAAATATTTGTTGGATAGGTCCATAATTGGACATAGCTCCCATATAAGAACCATTTCCGATTACTACGTAAGTGCACATATTTCATTACAGAGTGAAGTTATATAGGTATAAAATTCATCATGAATTTGTTTAAAGTACATATAAAACATTCTGCGAAATTGATTCCGGTCGGTCCATAATCGATCACAGCTTCCATATCAGGTCCATTTTCGAAAAGCAATTAAATGTAAATATGTAACTATTTAAGAAATAAATATATTGAAATAATATTCTATATTATGTATACATATACCACTCTGAAAAATATTTTTCGGATCGGTCAATAATTAGGCATAGTCCCATGGTTATTATGACGCGCCGCTCGTGAAAAATTGCCACATCCCGAAAAATCAAATTCCAAACGAATTTTGTGTTGTATTCATAGTTTATAAACTGGCATTATTAGAAAACGCCAAAATCAATAGAATTTTTTTTTAATTTATACCTACACAGAAAAAAATATTCCATATTTTTTCAATAAAGACGTTAATCAGTATTAAATGTTAATTTCATTATATTTTTAATTAATATGATTATTTTTTTAATTGAATACATTCTTTTACAAAAATCTATATTTTTTAATTAATAAACCATTTAATTAATATTAAAATTTATTTTAATAAAAAATGTAATTATTATAATTAATTTAATCTAAAAAATGTGTGTTATTGTTAATGTAAAAACGAGAAAAAAAAATAATTTATTTTTTTCATGTGGACCTATTCCATAAGTAAAACTGTTCTAGTTTAAAAATATGTGTACGAAATTTAATATTGTATGTTTAAGATATTCTGTGGGAGTTATATTCAGATGAATGATATCCAAAATGCATCCAAATAAGGCAGTGAACTTAACACGACATTTCATCTCAGTTTTCTTTTATTGTTTCTTTCAGATTATTATTTCTTGGTACATGTCCCTTAATTCTCCGGTAAATGCCAGGAGTTTTCATCAGCTATGATTGGTTTCGCAGTTACTGAAGTGTATTTGAAAATATCATGGAGTTGGCATACATACACACATTTTTTATATTACTTCCCTGTAGGATTTTGTGAGTTAACTAAAAATCAAGTTAACTTTTTGATAACTTCTTATGACTAGCTTCAAAGTAACTCAAAAATGATCGAGGAAATGAACAAACATTTCAATAAAATTTTAAATAAAAAATAAAATAGAAACTCGTATCAAATTTGTCAAACAATTTGTATTGAAAAAATGAAATTATGAAAATGAAAATTTGTTTCAGCAATGAAAAATGAATTTATTATTATTAAATTAACATTTTCAGGAATATAAGACATAGATAATGGTGTATATAGGAAGGAAATGTTGCTGCATATTGAACGCATTTATTATCACTAACAATTTGTTAAAAAATATAAAAATATAAGAAAATTGCACAGGTAACTCACAGCTGATCTTTTATTTATGCACTAGAAGCTAACTCATCTTGAGGTAACTTCTGGTTAACTGAAACTGATGTATAGTGAGTGAGTACTGACTCGTTCCTATGACATCACATTGAAAAACTGAATAGTATTTTATAAGCAAAATGGTTAGCTTTTGAATCACCTCTGACTCATTTGTGGTTAACCATAAGTTAGTTTTAAGTTAACTCAAAATCCTACTGGGTAATCATTTGAATGTTATATTCAATAAAAACATAATAATTATGGAAAAATATGAGTATTTTTATTGGGAATGCTTTTTCGCAATTTAGTTAAATTTTTAATTGGGATAATTAATTATTTAGTCGATATTTGAAATAAAAACAATTGCGAATTTAATTAAATCCATTAAAAACTTGTTTGAAATATGCCACCGAATTCTATTACATAAATTAATTACAATAATACTGTTTTAATTGTATTTTTTGTCACTTATTCTCCAATTAACATTTTTAATTTTCCGTTAATCAATAGTATCATTTTGATGATTAGAGCAAAATCAAAACTTTTTTTAAGTAATATGAGCAATTTCATTATTGAAATTCATTTTTATTTTTTTTCTGTGTATGTATATGTATATAGTATTTATGTAGTTTCGAAAGTTTAAATTTTTATACCCTTCACCTTCGTGAGAAGGGTATATATAAGTTTGTCATTCCGTTTGTAATTTCTATAATATAATTTTCTGACCCTATAAAGTATATATATTCCGGATCCTTATAGATAGCGGAGTCGATTTAGCCATGTCCGTCTGTCTGTCTGTGTGTATGTTGAAATCAGTTTTCAGAAGACCCCAGATATCTTCGAGATCCGAATTTTCAATAATTCTATCGGAAATACGGTCGAATAGAACGCTATTTAAAATCAGCCCAATCGGCCCATAAATAACGAAGATATGAGTAAAAATCCGAGACCACCTCTGAAAATTTCATCAAAAATTTACTTTTTTCGTGCATGCTTATACAAAACAATAAACAAACAAAAACAAAACACAGTATCAAACGGTAAATTTTTTTGTTATTTGTTATTGTAATTCTTGTTTATAAACACAAAGCAAAGAATGAACATCACGTTACGTTGTTATTGGCTAGAAACATGAAATTAAATATGTAGAGCCTGGATTAGGCGAGAACACATTAAAGGAACTTTTTGGTACTTTTTCGTTCTACAAAAGGTACTTTTTGAATTTTCTATAATATTGAACCTAGAAACATGAAATTTAGCATGTAGGACCTTGACTCAGTAAGAACCTATAAAAAGGGATTTTTTGGTACTTTTTCGTTATACAAAAGGTACTCTTTGAATTTTCTATAATATTGAACCTAGAAACATGGTATTAAATATGTAGAGCCCGCATTAGGCCAGAGCACATAAAAGGGGACTTTTTGGTACTTTTTCTTTCTACAAAAGGTACTTTTTGAATTTTCTATAATATTGAACCTAGAAACATGAAATTGTCAAAGTATATACATACGTACGACAACACTATGTCGCAACGTTGTCAACATTGCAACAATTCGTTGTCGAAATCTAAATTTTTTACACATACGTTGTCTAAATGTTAACAAACGTGGTAAGCTCACTATTGGCAACGGATTGTT